GAAGAGAACCTGCTGTCAGATGCAGATCCCTGACCGGGCAGAGCCTATCTCACCCTCCACGCCAGGAAGCAGCTAGAGAACTCCCTGACATGCCCAGAGGAGAGCTGGCCCGGGGAGGAAAGGGCTGAGACTTCAGGCAACCACAGGGCTGGGGAGGGAACTCCCGTCTCAGGCCTAAACATTGCTGCCTGCCTGAAGTCATGTAGGGGGCAATGAAGACTCTCGATCTGAAATTAAGTACCTGGCCCCTCATCCCAAACAGACAAGCAAACTCTCCCCCACTGGTCCTAGCAGTGTCAGAAATACAACCAACCAAAGATTAGTTTGCAAAGTTGAAGCATAGCTGATTCGAGGCTTGCAGACACACCTGGGAAAGTCAGCTCCCTGTGCCTGCTTGTCCACACCTCAGTGTGGGCAGCTCTGGCCCCTCATGGGAAGGGGCAGGAGGTCACTCTGGGTAGGATCTGAGGACGGCAGATGCAGTAGGAAGCCACCACATAGGGCTCTGGATGTCTGCAGCTGGGGGGACAGGGGACAGCTGCAGGTGTCCATGCAGACCCCCACACCTGGGTGCCAGGACAGACGCTGTTCATTCCACCCGCAGTTCCACTGTGCGTACCAGCTGGCTGACTGGTGTCTCCATCACATCTGCACCAACTACAACAATGTGTGCCGCAAGTTCCCCCGAGACATGAAGGCCATGTCCCCAGGTGAGCATCTGGGGCCAGCCCTGGCAGCTCCTGCTGCTCTCCCCTTAGGCTCAAGGGGCCTCAACTTGGGTCCACATCTTGCATTTAACCCCACTTTGACCTTGGGGGTGGGGGCAGCCTGCAGAAGAGCCTCCAGCCCAGCAGAGGGGGCCCCAGGAAAAGCGCTGGCCTGGAGGGCAGCTCCCTCTGCCTCTCTGGGCTTCCATGTCTCAGGGCTATAGAGAGGACGCTGGACTAGAGTTGGTAGTTTTCAGACTTTTCTAGACAGGACACCACAATAAGAAATACATTTTATGCTGTGACCCAGTACGCACATAGAGCCCAGGCATGGGCGCAGTCCACAGCACGGACCACCCAGCTGGACATACTCAGAGGGCTCCTGCGGCTGGGTTTCTTCTTAATTAATTTCTCAGGTCTCAGAGCCAATGGAACTGCACAGGCTCCAGGGAGAGGTGTCGCTGGTAGCCCCGAGGGGTCTTCACTGGGCTCCCCGCGCTCTGCTGTGACTCTCCTCCCCGCTTCCGCGTGGCTGCGGCACCCTACCCATCCTCCCACCCGGTTCTCTCCTCCTTTTCACGTTGTTACAGCCCGTCTAGCATTTTCTTTCTAAAGCACGGGTCCAGATGCATCACCACCCTGTTTCCAAGCCTTTTGTGGCTCCCCAGACCCTCCAGAATGGGGCCGGCCTTCCTCTCCCCAGCCTGCCCCGCATCCTGCCGTGGGCCGACCTCCGCAGTCCCCTTGGAACCTTCCACTCTCCTCCCCTAACCGGCCGAGTACCTTCCGCCCGCAGCGCTGCTTACCTGTCCTCCCCGGTTCTTCGTCTCGGCCTGTTTCATTCCCAGCACACAGGAAGACCCCGTCTAGGTCTCCCCTCCGTCCTTGGGGAAAACACAACTGGAAGGGCCTTCCCCGGTGCTTACTGTCGCCTCTGCTCCCTGGGCATTTCTCCTGGGTCCGGGGCACCATGGGCCACGGGCGGGTGTGGGGGGCGGGGCTCCCGCCGCAGGGCCACGTGGCAGGGCGGGGCTGGCACCCTCTGGGCACTCCGCAGGTCCTGGGCTCCCCTTGTCCCTCTGCTGCCCTCCTAACCGAGCCCCACTGCGCTCCTCTCCAGAAAACCAGGAGTATTTCGAGAAGCACCGGTGGCCGCCCGTGTGGTACCTGAAGGAGGAGGATCACTACCAGCGGGCGCGGAAGGAGCGAGAGAAGGAGGACTACCTGCACCTGAAACGGCAGCCCAAGCGGCGGTGGCTGTTCTGGAACAGTCCCTCCTCCCCGTCCTCCTCGGCGGCCTCCTCAGCGTCTCCATCCTCCTCCTCGGCTGTGGTCTGAGATGCTGCCACCCTCTTCTGACCCTGCTGCTGTTGTCCCCACCGCCCAGCCCCTCCGTCCTTCTGCATCACCCCTCCACCTTACGGGGACAAGGGGATCGGCGGGACCAAGACCCTAAGGGCGGCACTGTCCTCACCAGCCAGAGAATAGCCTCGCCCTGGGGATCAGAACAGGAACCACCTGCAGAGGTCCCCAGGTCCGAAGCAGGACAGAGACAACTGCTGGGGGTGGGGCAGGGGAGGAGCTGCAAGCTCTGGCATGTTGTCTGGGTCCCAGCACCTTGGAGTCAAAGGGAAAAGCCTCCCAACGTTGAGGGCTTCGCTGGATGTCTGGGTCTCTGCTCTGGCCAGGGAGGCAGCTGCCCTCCTCTTGAGCAGAAGTGAGCTGCAAGGGTCCTGCCTCTCTTGGCCGTGTCTTTGCCACCAATGGACTTGAGGGGTTGCACATGTTTTGTGGCCATTTCCACATGGAGCCTACTCAAATCCTCACTGGAGAAGTCAGGGTAGAAACGAAGCCTTCAGAGCCCGACTCAGGGCTTTACATCCTGGGGTGCAGCTGTAAGAGGCCACCAGTGGAAAGGCCTGCGTCCTGCCAGCGTCCCTCCCTCCCAGGCTGCAGCAGTGCAGGCCGATGACAGGGCCAGAGGTTGTTTGGCGCTCTGGGGTCGGGAGCAACGCCTCTTGGTGCATTGAGAAACTTCTCCCCCAGCCCTCCTTCACCCCTCAGGTTTGGAGACGGAACCACAGGCAACAGCTGGGGTAGGCGGAGAAGGGCAGGGTCTGTGCACAGCCATCCCGTGCTCCTCCGTCCCCTCCCCCTGCCTCTGGGTAGCACTGCTTTTTATGGGGTGGGGCAAAATTAGCAAAAAACAAAACCCAAACAGAAAAGGAAACAAAACAAAATCACCACCACCAAAAACACTCTGTCCTCTATCCCTTCAAAGAATGAAAACCAGAAAAAGACCCTGTATACCTTACATTTTTATAAAACCAATCAGAGGCCCCTATGATGACGAGATGAAGGTTTAGGATGTAGAATCAACTCCAATGCCTTTCAGGAAAGGACTTGTCACCTTCTCAGACTGAGGATGCCTGGATGCTGCTGACTGGTTCTCAGGGCAGCACAGGGTCCTGGCCCTCGATGTCGGGGCTGGTGGCAGGGAGGTGTTTGGTCTCAGGGCTCAGACAGCACTGGGCTCTTGCCTTTGCTCGTCTGGAGATTGCAAGCCCTTGCCCTCACCTTTTAAGGGCTCCCCACCCCCTGCTGGGTTTGCTGTGTGTTGGGTGGGCAGGGTAGGAGAGCAGGAGTCCCCTGTAATGAAGGATCACAGGACATAGAGCCTTAGTTAGTGCTGCTTTGGGACATAGGGAAGGAAAAAAAGAGAATTGAACAGAAGGAGATGTAAGGTTAGCGTAGAGAGGAGGACGGGACTGAGGATTGCGGGGGTTAAAACAGTAGCTCGCGGCCCCCATGGGGCAAAAGCTGGGCCATGACTGACCCTTTCCCGTTTTCTAACCCTGACCCATATTTCATCACCCCACACCCTTTTTAGATTAAAAAGATCGCGTCCCACTGACAAGGGGCAGAGCTCAGGAGTCTCCTCACCTGAGAAAGATGCTCAGCTGAGAGGGACTGACTAGGTCCTGGGGACCCGGCTGGGCTCCCCAGCAAAACACTGGTTAGGTCTGGGATAGAGCAAAGGCAACCTCAGCAGCGGGTGGATGGTGCCAACTCCTGGAGATCTGAGGTTAAATCCTCATCAACAGGAAGAGCAAGCAGTGGAAGGACAAGCAGGTCTAACAATGGGGTAGATCCGTGTTGTCCAAGCCTGGGACACTCCCAGGCTGTGGCTGCCAGGTCCTGCAGGGTGGCTGGCTGGGAAGCCAGTTGTGGGCTGCCCTCTACAGGCCGGTCAGCCTCCTTGCAGCTGAGCTCTGGCCAGGGCTTCAAGCGAGGTTGAGGAGCCCAGGGGCAGGAGCGGGAGGGAAGCTTTAGGGGGAGAGCCCAGTGCAGCACCTCCCTCCGATGGAGGGGGACAATGTGGGCATGCCTGGGCCTCCAGGAACTGTAGGCAAGAGGGACTCTTGGGTCTTCAAGTGCAAGGGCAAGGGGAAATGTTTCTCCCGGGTGCTTGCAGGACTGAGCGACCTGGGTCCACTGATGAGGATGTCGACCGAGGGTTGGGGGAGCCCACAGGAGAGTGAGTGGCCACAGGACTTCCCCAGCAGCCAGGGCCAGCTCACACCTCAGGGACCCACCTCCCTTCCCAACAGCTCTCTCAGAGCCAGTGAACAGTACTCAGCAGCCCCAGGTGCAGCCCAGAGAACCACCCTGGGGGGCTGTGGGTGAGGCAGCCCAGCGCTCCTGTCCCTGGGCCCAGAGGGAAGGGCAGGCGGGAGACCAGAAGGGAAGGAAAGGCTGAGTTCCAGTCCCCATGAACCTGGCACTTTAAAATCCAGGGAGTCAGAAGCAGGAAACAGCCCTGTGCAGGGCAAAGCCTGAAGGCACAGAGGGGAGGAAAGTAGCAAGACACAGCAAGAACGCACCTGGGACCCGTGTCCCCAAGAGCTGGTTCAGAGAATGGGAGGATGGGGGCAAAAAAACCCAAACAAACAAAAACCGCACCTCTTTTTATATAAGGTTTCATATTTAATTTGGTCATGAATTCATAAATACATTAATATTTTGTATCTAACTGGCTCCTTCGTATTGCTTAATATCACCAGCACAGAGTCCGATGGGGGCCTTCCGCCGCGCAGTAGCAGCAAAGGGTACCAACCACAAAGGAAACACTCAAGTGCCTCTCCTGTGTCATGTGCTATTTGGCCTGGGTATTAAACAAAACCAAACCAACAAACAAAAGACCCCAAACAATTTCATGTCACGGTTTATTTATTTATTTTATTTTTATTTTTATTTTATTTTTATTTCTATTTTATTTTTATTTTTTTTAGAGAGGAGTGGCATGGAGTTTTTTAATTTGGGAGGCAAAAGGTTGCACTTAATAGAACGCAGAGGTGGGGTCAATAAACATTCATTACAAAGTAGTTCTGACACAGAGCAAGAGAACTCTGCGCTTTCCACTTGCATACCAAAACAGAGTCGGTTGTAAGCCCAAATCTGAAGAAAATCCACATGTCCAACGAGCTGCCGTCTCAACAACTCTTATCCAGGAAAATCAAAAGTGAACATTCTTCCAGTCTCCCACTCCTCAAGTAAATGGAAATGATTCAGCCAACAAAGTTCATGACAACAAGGTGCAGGATGGTGTTGGCAAAGAGAAAATCAGCAAAGGCTCGCTCCGGGGAGATGCCTTGGAAATCTGCTTTGTTCTGTGGGTTGATCTGTATTCTCAGGCAAACCGCTGGGATGAAACTCCCCACACAAGAGATGAAGCCCGAGAGAAAAGAGTTGAAGGGGAAGGTCCCCACCAGGAGACAGTAACCGAATTGCAGCGCCCCCGTCAGCAGTATATACAGGAGGTACGCATCCAGCAGCTTCAGACGCTGCGGAGTGGAGCTCAAGTACTCTTCTAAGAACCGGGAGATGACCGACACTACCGACGCCGACATGACTACACGCAGACTACTCCAACCAGCGTTCTCCAAACTCCTGGAAGACCCGACCGCCACACCGGATGTAGTGTTTGCGCACCCACGGTTTATTTTAAAAGAATAAGTTTGATAAACACTGATAAGGCTAATAAAAGAAGTCCTATGAGAAAGAGACAGGAGCTGAAAGCTGGGTGGCTCCCTGAGGTATGAGGGCAGAGCGTCCTGCACAGAAGGACCCATAAAGCCAAAGACCAGGAGGTGGGACTATCCTGTGCCTTCCAGGAGGTGGAGGGGGCAGTCATGGAACCCTGCGTGGACGTGGGAGAGGGTTGTGAATGGGAAGCCCAGGGAAGCCACCCCTTCCTAAAACTCCACAAGCTCAATACCCTGAACGTGCCTACATCTTCAGGCAATTCCAGCTTGGGCCACCCCAGCCCCGGAACAAAGAAACACGCAAGGCCTTGAGGTGGAAAAGACCCAAACCCCTGAGAACTACGGCCTTCATAAATGTCCCTGCGATGGTTGCAATACTGTGGGGAAGAGTTTGCTAGAAAGAGGACTGAAATGGTTACTGAGGTTTTTTATAAAAAAGAGAAAGGGGCCGGGCGCGGTGGCTCACGCCTGTAATCCTAGCTCTCTGGGAGGCTGAGGCGGGCGGATTGTTTGAGCTCAGGAGTTCGAAACCAGCCTGAGCAAGAGCAAGACCAAGATCCCGTCTCTACTAAAATAGAAAGAAATTAATCGGACAACTAAAAAAGTATATAGAAAAAATTAGCCGGGCATGGTGGTGCATGCCTGTAGTCCCAGTTACTTGGGAGACTGAGGCAGAAGGATTGCTTGAGCCCAGGAGTTTGAGGTTGCTGTGAGCTAGGCTGATGCCACGGCACTCTAGCCCGGGCAACACAGTGAGACTCTGTCTCAAAAAACAAAAAAAAAAGAGAAAGTGATACAAGGAGGAAGCCTGGGTGTGTCAGCTATTCTAGGCCCTGTTGCCATAGTAGTTAAGAATCGACATTTCCGTGCTAAGTATTTATACAGAAGGCAGATGCGTACAGAGGGGCTGAGCTCCTCAAATAGGGAATCTGCTCCTCTAAATGCAGCTCTGGGGCTCAGTGTCACAGACCGGCAGAAGTCAGAGGGACCATGGAGTCCTGAGTTGGTAAACGTTTCACACCATTCCTGAGCATCATCCACTCTTCCTGCCTGAGACCATGGCAGACATTGAAGACAGATCCCTGTCCTCTCTCTCCTGAGCCCAAATAAAGCTCAAGGTCACTGACATTCACTGGTAATGGGACATGCCATACAACCCATTTGCCACCTCTGATCCAACCCATATGCCATTCTTCCCATAAGCAGGATCCAAGTATGACTTCCCAGGACATGGGCCAACTGCACATAGCGTTTCACACGGATATAGTTCTCCTTGAGTCCTTACTCATATACATCGCCTATAAATAAATAAATATTCACTGTCGTATAAAACACTACTTGGACATAAGCAAATGCCTACATATTATTAATAATATGTAGGGCTCTTACAACACAAGAAAATATAAAATTTTTCTTGGGATGAAAAAGTGCCATGAACAGAAGAAGAATGACATACATCCTTGAACGATACACAACACACACACAAACCTAGAACTATACGAAACAAAAAATTGCTGAAAAAATTCTAGGACATTCTTCATACAGGATCAGAGTTTCTTCCAGCACCAGTCATGTGAAATTTCTGCCTGTTTGCTGTAGGCTTGTTGTCCAATGGTGCTTTTTTCCCAAGAAAAAAAGGTAAACTAGGGAAGCTCTGAAGAGCTTCTAAAGAGATTCTTTCACGATTAGGACACAGCAGAGCCTGCCTCATCTTCTAGATAGATGAACTTCCCGGAGCCCACCAGGTGGTCCTCGATGGTCTCCTTTGCATATCTTTGTCCTACCCTGTCCAAGGCCTCCAGCAGGCTGTGCAACGAGGCCTTCCGCCCCATCTTGCTGACCCATCGCTCGAGCATTTCGTACAGGGCGTCCTCTTTGCAGGCTGCACAGGCTCTGGCTATTTGGATGTCATTCTCCGTCAGTCCCACGAGCCTCATGAGTGGGTTCCAGGAGTTATAGGGCACAACACGTGGGAAGTAGACAAAGAACAGCCTCAGAGCTAGATGGAGAAAAGCCACAGAGACGGTCAGGTGAGTTGGGACTCAGCCCAGGAAGGGCAGAGGCTCCCGCATCAGGCCTAGAACCCTAGAACCTAGTGAGCTCCCCTGCGGGGGACCTGCTGCTCCAGCGTCCCGACCTGCTCCCCATCCACAGAGAACCAGGCCACACTGCTGGGACCCCACCTGCACCCAAGGTGCTGCAGGGGACTCAAGGTCACCAGAGAATCCTGCCCTCGGGCAGGGCTGCAGCCCCCTGGGGAGGATGGAGGGAGCTGGGGAGGCAGAGAGCAATGTGGGGTACGAGCCGGAGGGTGGGGCAGAGAGTGGGTGCAGCAGCGACTCAGAGCAGGGAAGCTACTTGGCTGCACTTGTCACAGGAGCAGGTCCCAGGGCGGCCACGCCTGCCCCTGCAAAAAGCCCAGGGCCTGGGCCGGGAGGGTCTCTGGTTCACGCCCAGCTCAGCCTCACTCCCCGGGCCAGGTGGGACGACAGACTCTGGCAAAAAGTCAACCTTAAAAGGGAGCAAGGCCACCCGGCCCGAGCCTGTGCGTGGATTAAGTGAGATGTGTGCAGAGGTGCGCACACCGCCGTCCTTAGGGACAGAAGGCGGCCGGGAACGTGAGGCTGTGTTTTCTAACAGTCTCAGTTAAAGAAAATAAAAAGAAATAAGTGATGTTATTTTAATGTAAGGTACTGACTCAATATATATAAAATATAATTTTAATATGCAATTATGTATAAAAAATGATCAGTGAGACATTTTCCTTTTTTTTTTTTCGCATCAAATCTTTGAAATCCTGTCTGCAATTTACACTGCAGCTCAGCAAAGTGGGCCTGGACACAGGTCGAGTGCTCAGTCACCTCCTGGGGCCCGTGGGTCTGTGCAGCGCAGCCCTTGGGGAGCTGAACCAGGCCCTGAACAAGGGAGGAGGGAGGAGGTGGGCAGGGGCGTGGACAGAGTTGTTAGGGTCCTCGTTAGGGTGCAGAGAGGGTGGGGCAGAGTGGGGGTCAGAAGAGGGGGGAGAGCGTCATTTAGGGTCCAGGGACAATAGCATAGGGTCCCTGGTTCCAGCACTGAATGCTCTGGAAGAGCCCTATCAGCTATGGGGACAGCAGTTAGGACACTGTCCCTTTTCCCTGTCCTCCTGCTGCATCGCCAGGAACAAAACACTTACTGTCAGTGGGATCGGCGCCGTTTGCTGGAACCAGCAGCCTCCTCCTGTGAGACTCTTCAGCTTCTGCCTGTCCCTGGAACACCCGGTGGGGACGCCCCGGGTCAGAGTCAGGAATCCCGGATTCCGGTGCGGCCTGGCAGTCAGCCGGCTGTGACACCTGCAACATGTCACTTTCTGAGCAAGCATCGTTCTGAAAGTTCTGGCATCAAGACAGGAAAGAAAACAAAGTGGCAAGACTCTTAGAAGAACCCAACACAATAATCCTTATTTTAGATAGCATCATATATTTTAAAAAGCCCAAAGGTTTAAACAGCAATACTAAAAAATCAATATGTCCAGATGAACATTAAAACACGTAGTGAACACAATAAATTAGAAAATGGAATTACAAAAAGACCCAAAATACAAACTTTGACAAAAAATAGGAATGTTTATCTGAAAAAAAAAATCAAAAATCTTCACTAAGTCATAATAAAACACTTGACCTCAAATACTATCTTCTTTGATAAGTGAACTATTGAATATTGAAAAGCTCTCAGTCCTTCCTAGATTAATTTATTAAAGTAATATTTAAAAAGTCCAGTGATTTTTTTTTTTTTTGGAGATGTTGGAGAAAATCTTATAAAATAATTCTAAATTTTATCTGGGTCAAAATAATTAATTCTGAAAAAGTAAGAAAGGGGTCTTTGCTCTCTTAGATATTAAAACATATTAGAAAGTTTCATTTGGTATTGTATGTGATATACGCTTTTTATGTCAATAAAACACATGGATATACATATGCATGTATGTATATAGATGGTATTTGCAAAAAAAGTTTACCAAAGAATCACAGGAAATTGTCTATTATAGTTACCTGAAATAAAAAAGGCTAGGGGCTGCAGGAAGAGTTTGGGGTGCTCTCGCTATGACCAAGTACCTCTCTGTCCTATGGTGGAAGTGGGGATATGCTTTAACCACTTTAAAAAGATGTTTGAAGTAATTTATCATCATGGAAGAATTAGTTGCATTTTTTAGTTTGTTTCCTTTTTTATATCTTTTCTTTTATATACAAGCAGTCCTCGGGTTATGGATGAGTCATGTTCCTGAGAATGTCTCTAGGTTGGAATTGTATGTAACTCGGATCCCCGGAAAACAGCTCATATTCGGTAATAATACTAATAACATTACTATAATGGCTCATATGTGGTAGTAATAATGCAGTGTAATACTGTAGTAATAATAATATTAATAGTACCCCTGTACGGTAATATTAATAATAAGTTACAGAAACTACTGTGCTCTTTCTTTTCATTCTTAGGCTCACAGGAATTTTACTCTTATTTTGGTCTTCTCACCAAATCAATAAGAACCTTTCTAGTTCAGTAATTAATCCGCTATGCTGCTTTCATTGGAGCGCTGCCTTTCACACGCCCCATTATTCTCACTTTACCCTTTCTAATTGTTCCCATAGTCTAGCGACGGAAGCCTAATGCTTTCCCGATGAATGATGGTGTCTTGGCCATTCTCCGAACACTTCATTATTTCTACTTCCGTTTCCGTTGTCATCACTTTTCTGTTCCCTGCAGGCTCACCTGGACTCGCAGGGAACTTTTGCTTTGGAGCCATGGTCAGCAGGGTAAACAAAGACTCACAAAATTAAATTAAAAAGTTAAGACGAAAGAGACACTGTGCCTATGTGAATAGGACCAGCTGCTATTGTAAAGAGCCGCACCAACGGGCCGCCTAGGCCATGTGGGTTTGACATGCGTGGAAGAAACTAGTTCCTGAATTATTAATTTAACTATTTGAATTAAATTCGTAAGTAAGGAACGCTGTAAGTCACATCGTCCCTACCCCTCGTCCCTCTCTCTATATATGTATTTTCTTTTTTATGCACTTGCATAGAAAAGTAATACCTTCTCTTTATTTAAAAAAGAATGTGCTATAGACCCAAGGAAGGAACAGAAAGAAACTGCCTGGGTGGAAGAGATCATGGTCCATGTACACATTTGTCATGCGGCAAGGGAGGCTTCAAAAGCAGAGGGAAATGGAAGAGTCGGTTGCTCAGTGAGCTTGGAGCAAGGAGACAGACACACAGAACAATTCTTCACTTCATAGCAGATCAAAAACCAAATTCCATTTCTATTGCTCCGTACCAAAAATTAAATCATTAAAAAATAAAACTGGGCCGGGCGCGGTGGTTCACACCTGTAATCCCAGCACTCTGGGAGGCCAAGGCGGGCAGATCATTTGAGCTCAGGAGTTCGAGATCAGCCTAAGCAAGAGCGAGACCCCATCTCTACAAAAATAGAAAGTAATTGGCCAAACAACTAAAAATAGAAAAAATTAGCCAGGCATGGTGCGTGCCTGTAGGCCCAGCTACCTGGGAGGCTGAGGCAGGAGGATCGCTTGAGCCCAGGAGTTTGAGGTTGCTGTGAGGTAGGCTAACGCCCTGGCACTCTAGCCCAGGCAACAGAGTGAGACTGTCTCAAAAAAAAAAAAAACTGTAAGAAACTAGATAATCTCATTTTATATTGGATGGAAAGACTTTCTGAGCTTAAGAAAAATGAAAACTCAAATGTATACACTGCTTTAACTACTACTCAATATCACATCAGAACTGATGAACTGATTTGAACAATAACTGGATGTGTGTGCATGTGTGTGCACCAGAAAAAAGCACTTCCAGGCGGGACACAGAGGCTCACACCTGTAATCCTAGCACTTTGGGAGGCTGAGGCAGGAGGATCGCTTGAGCCTGGGAGTTTAAGACCAGCCTGAGCAAGAGTGAGACCCCATGTCTAGAAAAATAGAAAAATTAGCCAGGGGCGTGGTGGCTAACAGTCTGTAGTCCCAGCTACTCGGTAGGGTGAGGCAGGAGGATCTCTTGAGCCGAGGAGTTGGAGGTTGCTGTGAGCTATGATGATGCCACTGCACTCTAGCCTAGGTGACAGAGCAAGACCATGCCTCAAAAAGAAAACAAAAACAAAAAAGAAACAAAAAGGCACTTCCACACATTGACTAAGAAATTCTACTTCTTCTTGGAAACCTCCCTATGAACATGATCAGAAATCTGGAAAAGGATTTACTGTCAAATATGTTCAATGTAATAATACTCCTGGAGGAAATTTAACACTCCTGCTGTTAGGAGCAAGGGCTCTGTGAGTTCTGCTAGGAGCACACGGCGGAGATCAAGCCGCCCTTATTCAGTCATCAACAAACCCCGGGCGCCCACTCTGCCTGCACAGCTCTAGGCTCTGGGGACATGGCCAGAGCAGGACAGGGACTTAGAAGAAGGCCCCACAGAGTGCGAGGGTCACCTTGTTGGGGCAGCTGCTCTGGCCCATACTCCCCATTGCCTGCAGTCCCTCTGTCCCTAAGGCTCCGCTTTACCCTGGGCCAGGACAGCCGAGGCACCGTCCTCACCCAGTACCTACAAAGTCCTGGGCCAGCAGCAGGACCGGGACACAGCACGGCTGACCTCACTCACCAGCAGACGCTCTGCCTCCCCTGGGGACGTTACGGTGACACCTGTCAGCACTACCGGCTCCTGGCTTTCCTTTGTCTGCTGAGAGTCCAGGGTGGAACAAGAGTCTCTGTTGCTCAGGATCTCGTTGCGGGCATTGTCCTCAGCCCCAGGCCCTCCTGGGGACCTCTGGAACCAGGAGAAGACCTTGGGAGGCAAAGAACAGACTCAGGAGTCCACACCCAGGGCTCCCCACAGCTCTCCCGGGCACTGCTGCTCCTGCCATCCCCACCCCTGCCAATGGGGTCACCCCAGGTGGGCAGAGGCTGAGCACATCCAGCATCTGCTGCTGGCACCACGCCCCTGGTCACGCCCATCCCCAGGGTGCAGAGCTGCAGGAAGGACAGGGCTGCAGCACGGCCCACTGGCCTGTGTGGTGCTCAAGGCAGCCATGTGGCCCTCAGGGTCAGCAGAGCCCCAGGCCACTGCAGAGAGCCAGCACAGCCGTATGGGACAGTGGGGACGCCCCACCCAGGGCTCTGTGTGGGCAGGAAGCAGCTCCTGAGCACCCGGTGCCCCCAGTTTCTGGAGAAACCAACTTACTTTGTCCAGGCTCTTAAGGTCCTTGCAGCGACCTGAAAGAGAAGGGGGTCCCCTTAGCAAGCGGGGAGGAGCCCATGCAGCACCCCCTCCCTGAGGGCAGTGCCCAGGCAGGGCTGGGCTGGGGGCTGAGACACTGGACAAGCAGCCCTGGCCTGGGCACAGGGACGGGGCCTTTCCAACTCTGGGGCACCCTCAGGAAAGGGGAGGAGGAGAAAATAGAGTAAAAATAAACACATGTGAAATCTCTGTTTGGTTCCGCGCTGACCAAAACCAAATAAACCCTCTGAGCACGTCTGGTCCTGACCCTGGTCCCCCAGTGGAGGAGCCGACTCCCTCTCTGCCCTGGCTGGCCCTGAAGACGGAAGGGGGAGGGGAGCTGGCCCCGCCCTCCAGACGTGGGAGAGGAGGGCACCGCCAGCCCCAGGAGAGGGACTGATGACATTCTGGTCCTGCGCAGGGCGGGGGTGCACGTTAGGTGGGAGATGGTGACCACCACAGGGTGACAAGGATTTGGGAGACAGGGGAGGGCACTTCTGCCTGTGGAGCAGGGTGGGGGAGGGACAGAGAGTGCCCAGGGGCCCCTCTCTCAGCCAACACCTACCTGTGCGGATGCACCACCCGCAAAGCAACGCTGCCACCACCACCACCCCCAGGAGGAACGGGGAAGCTCCAATCAGGATCTTTGGGATGAGCCAATTGCCTGAGGAAGGGAGGGGAGAGGCAGAATTCCCTGGGCTGGCGGTCATTGGTCCTGCAGGAGCCGGGGCTTCACCAGACGCCTTAGTACCTGATCCTTCGGGGACGCACACAAGGTCACTCCAGGGGGTACAAGGCCTGTACTCAACCATCCCATCGGGGCACCTGGGTACACACAGGGAGGAGACGTGGGATTCCGTGAGGGAAAGCTGGCCAGATGGGACAAAAGAGGAGCCACTCTTCTGCCCACTGTCCCTGAGCAGGTGACAGAGGAAGGACAGGCCTCTCGTGTCTCTGGGGGCCCCACTCTCCCTTGCTGAGTCCGGGGAAGGATCTGATCACGTGAACTTCAGCCCCTCGGGCTCCCTGCTCCGTGGTCAGGGCTGTGGCCTCCAGGAACCTTCTCTGCTCGGCACACTCGGGGCTTCCCTGGGCTGCAGGGGAGGCCCCGAGTTAGCGGGAACCTCCCTCCAGGGCAGGTGGGAGGCCCGCGTGGCCACAAGCTGAGCCACAGCCTCCAGCCAACCCCGATACCACTGAGCTCCCGTCCCCACCTATCTGCCCGTCCCTACCCGTCACGGCGAACACTGGGGGTCAGTAAGAGTCATCAGTGTCGGCCCCTAAAACCCCAAATAAGTACAGGACAGGTCCTGAGGGACCAGGGACCAGGTAAGGACAGCTGCGTTGTCTCAGGTCATGGGAATCTAGAAGGAGCTACACCCATGGCCTTCTTATGAACTCTGTGTGCCACGGGCACTTTTGTCTGCATGGTCCCTACTTGGATAAAATAATTATTAAAAATTGCATTTTAGGACTGAATTGGATTAAGGATAAATATTAACATATGCCAGGCTGTATTCTTTTCATTTACAATTTCAAAACAAAATATTTCATGGGCCCCCAAGAATATCAGGGGCCCTAGGTTGTGGTCTCCTGTGTCCGGTGGGACACGTGCCGGGGAGGTGTGGGAAGGGGCTGCTGCAGGGGGCAGGGTGGGGACAGGCAGATGGAACAGGAGGGGCCACCACAGGCTCAGGACACCCCACAGGGTCAGGGATGCCCCAAGAGGGTCGAGGCCCCATGGAGTTCACGGGACAGAAAAGGCTACAGGGAAACTCGGGGATTCTGGGGGTCAAGCCTGCCTCTCCTGTCTCACCTGGGGAGGCACTTCTGGCAGAACTCCGGGGAATCCTCTCCCCGGTAGGTGTCTGCTTTGCACTGACACTCTGTGTTTGCGGTTATGTTGCAGGGACTTCTCTCCTCTTCATCTGCACGCAAAGGGAAAGTCTTTGGGGAAATGTTTCCCTGGTGTGTCCCTCAACCCTTCCTCACCACCCTGACCCCTTCCCACTCAGCTCAGCTCAGGTCACCAAGGAGCTCTGAGGGCCAGTTTCTGCACCAAGCCACTCGGGGCACACAGAGGACAGCCACCCTTCAGCTGTCACCAGTAGTCAAAGTCATACAAAATGGACCAACATTCATTATCTCTTACATCAGCTTAGGGGAAGAGAATCCTTTAGATAACATGGTAACAAGGGAGATGCTAGAGTAGAACCTGAGAGTCTCTGGCAGGAGAGGAGCCCCTGGGTGACTTCCCCAAAGCTGGGCCCTGCTGGCCAGGAGGGAGGGGCCTGAGGACATGAGGCTGAGAGAGGCAGAACAGCTGCCAGGAGCCAGCTGGGTGGGGTCCTGCCCAGGACCAGAACCAGGTCACAGCTGAAACCCAGCCCTTTCCCCTCAGCCACACCTTCCCCCTGCTATAAGTTACCCCCACCCCCTTGCAACTGGTAGTATAAAAGATTTCCCTACCAGGTGGCATGCATTATAAAAATAATTTCTGTTTAATGTATTTAATGACCCAAAGATATAATCATGGAACAACGGCGTATGAAGACCAAGTGGGACTGGAATCCAGGTCTCCTGGCTTCATTTATGCCATGAATTTCATATCGTCATGCTGCGTTCCATCTTTAGGCTCAGGGTCCACGTGTACCTGAATTACAAACCGAACAGGGTCGGCAGGAAGAGAGGGCGTTCCAATGAGTGGTGTAGTCCACTCCATAACTGCAGGAGGGACAATCTCTACTATCTTCTGATATATGGGTTCCTGGGAGGGGAGAGAAAAAGCTGGTGAATATTGATTCACAGGATTCTTAGAGGCTGGGGTACCCTTTCAGCCATCAGTGGAACCCAGACAGGGAAATCCACTGTACCTGGCTTGGTCAGCTCATCAGTTCTGCGTTTATTATATATCTTAGACCAGCACTGCTGACAGAAATATAATGCAAGCCACAAATTAAATTTGAATTCATACTCGCCACATTAAAAAAGTGAAAGAAGTGAGTTAATTTTAATAATGCATTTTAACTTCATACACCCAAACTAATATCACTGAAATATATAATCAATGTAAAACATGTAGATATTTTACATTTTTATAGTGTTTTCAATTCACAGTGTGCATTTCTCATGCATGGCATGTCTCAGTCTGCTGTTGCATATTTCAGGTGATGGACAGTCACATGGGTCTACTGACTACTGTGAACTATAATAAAATTTTCAGGCTCACCCCCCCCCACCGGCTAACTAAATGGACCCCCTCATGGCCAAAGGAATATCCTAAAATTAAACTGCTTGCCAGGAGGAGGGAGGTCAGACATGCCTTATCATGCCCCCTCCCTTCTTGGACACATCATTTATAACCCATTAACAGGCCTAGGGTATGCAAGACAAACCCGCAGGTCCTCAATTTATACAACAAATCTATGTCCAGAGGCTTATCTCTGATAAACAGCTCCTTGTGTTGAAACATTCCAAGCCTTTAGACAAAGCTTCATGTCTTTAACCAATTACAAGCCAAAGAATCTTTAAACCTACCTATAACCTGTAAGCCCCCTCTTCGAGATGGCCCACCTTTTCAGGCCAAACCAATGTATGCCTCCCACATATTGATTTATGACTTTACCTGTAACCCCTGTCTCCCTGAAATGTATAAAATCAAACTGTAACCCAGCCACACCGAGTCCACTGCTCAAGACCTCTTGGGCATGGCTCTGGTCATGGTCCTCGAATTTGGCTCAGAGTAAATCTCTTTAAAATTATTTTACAGAGTTCAGTCTTTTTTCCGTTTACGCTACCAACATTGGACAGCACCATTGTAGACCTTGGAAACTCACACGAGAAAGTCCCAATACCTGTCCTCAGTGAGCTGCCGGTTAGTGGAAGATATAAACAGGAGCAGAAGTAATACAATAATGGGAAAAGCCTTCAAAATTAAAGCTCATGTCATCAGCCATGGAATGAAAAACAGGTCCTACCTCTAGAAAGTCAAAGAATGACCCAAAGACATGGAAGCCAAAGCTACCCTGGAAGGGAGAGGCATTTTGAAATTGGAAAGCGTGAGGCCCCCAACTTTGGTTTTCTTTTACAAGATTGTTTTGGTTGATCTAGCTCATTTTAAATTTCATAAGACTTTGGGGATGGGTTTTTCCATTTTTGAAATAATACTATTTTGATAAGCATTGCATCTGTATATCACTTTGGTTAATTTGTCATCTTCACACTCTTAAGTCTTCCAGTCCATAAACACAGAATGTATCCCTGTTTATTTAGGTTTTTTTTTTTCATTTCTTTCAGCAATGTTTTGTAGTTTTCAGTGTAAAAGTCTTTCAGTAGCAAAGAACAATCCAAAAATGAAATTAAGAAAACAATTTCATTCACAGTGGCTCAAAAAGAATAAAATATTTAGGAATAGATTTAACAAGGAGGCACGAGACTTTTGAAAAAGACTTGTCTACACATCCAAGAAGCTAAATGATCTTTAAGCAGGCTAAATTTGAAGACAACCATACCAAGACACATTATAGTCAAATGGACAAAAGCCGAACACAAACAGAAAATCTTGAAAGCAGCCAGTAGCCCACTCAGTACGTACTAGAGAACCTCCATGAGGTTATCAACTGATTTCTTATCAGAAACCATACTGGCCATGACACAGTGAGTGACATATTTAAAGTGTTGAAAAAAATATCTATCAACCAATGAACTCTACTTACATTTAGGGTATAATCTGCTTTATTCAAAGTCTACTGATTTAAATGTTAATCCTATCTAAATAATACCTACACAGAAATGTCTAGAATAATGTTTGACCAAGTATCTGGGTACTGTGGCCTAACCAAGTTGACACATACAATTAACCATTACAAGTCTACCCTTGTCAACCCCATACCACACACATGTCCTTAACATCTATGTTAATGGTCACGCAAGGTACAAAGAAGACGGAAATCAAAATGGTACACACCAAGAAAACAACTAAATATATATATTTTTATATATAGGCACTAATGGAAGAATTGAGGAACAAGATACATATAAAACATAAAGAAAACAAATAACTAAAGAGCAGAAACGAGTCCTTCCTTCCCAGTAATTATGTTAAGCAAAAAATGGTTTAAACTCTACAACTGGCCAGGCACGGTGGCTCACACCTGTAATCCTAGCACCCTGGGAGGCTGAGGCAGAAGGATTGCTTGAGCTCAGGAGTTCGAGACCAGCCTGAGTAAGAGTGAGATCCCATCTCTATTAAAAATAGAAAAGTCAGCTGGGTGTGGTGGTGCATACCCGTAGTCCCAGCTATGTGGGAGGCTGAGGCAGGACGATCGCTTGAGCCCAGGAGTCAGAGGTGGAAGTGAGCTACGATGACACCATTGCACTCTAGCCCGGGCAACAGAGTGAGACTCTGTGTCACAAAAACAAACAAACAACAACAACAAAAATCCCCATAAAATAGACCATAAACCATCTACATGCTGTCCACAAGAATCCTGAATTATTTTTATTACTATTGAAAGATACTGTAAAAAACTCAACTGACACAAACCTTACTTAACAATGCATTATGATGATGGCAATGCATATCAACGGTGTTTAATAATGGTGCTGGGGTCACTAAAAATAATAAAGTGTCTTTCTTACCCTCTCCTCATAAGAAAATTAAGTCTAGGTGGATCAATGATTTAATTAGAAAATAGAAAGCCACAAAACTACTGGAAATATAGACGAGAATTTTTAGTAAGACTTTGTAGAATAAAGAACTGTCTCAGTATGATAAGATGACATAAAAATTGGATAAAGTCAACTATATAAAAATTAAGAAGAAAACTCTGCAGAGCATAACTCCCGACAGAGATGAAACCAAACTAGAAGAAACTACGTGCAACAAAAATCACTCTTAAAAGTATAATTTTCTTAATCTGTAAGAACTCATATGACTGAATAATAATAAGGAAGCTATTATTAGAAGGAGTGAAGGCTGGGTGCGGTGGCTCATGCCTATAATCCTAGCACTCTGGGAGGCTGAGGCAGGAGGATCGCTTGAGCCCAGGAGTTGGAGGTTGCAGTGAGTTGTGATGATGCCACTGCACTCTACCTGGGGGACAGAGCAAGACGTTGTCTCAAAAAAAAAAAAAAAAAGCGCAAAGAAAATCTAACGGAAACAACATACAAATGACATTGGCCTCATGAACAGATTCTTGACCTCATTCACCCCAAGAGAAATGCAAATCTAGAGGTGATTTGGTCTCTGGGTCCTTGGCATGGGCTGTGGTGCCCACTCTCTGTGAAAGGAAGCATCTCCCCCTTCCGGGATGCAAGTTCCACGGACAGTTCCTTCCCAGCCCTTTCGCTGACCTGTCGCCTGGCCTGGCATCTCCATGTCCGGGTCCTTGTGCCCCATCCTCTTCAATATCTACATTTTCCTTCTCACAAGACTGAGGCTTCACGAATCACTTACGTGCTGGGGTCCCCAAATGTGTACTGCTGGCCCTGCCACACACTGCTCCCTCAGAGACTCAATTCCCCCTGAGCAGTTGGGTTTGGTGCCTCGCTTGTCCTCGCTCCCTGCATAGAATCCATCCTCAAGTGCCGACAGCTGACTCCAAATAATCCAGTCTTCCCTACTCCTTCAGCTCAACCCTGGACCGCAGCAACAGGCACCCTGACGGTTCAGTGTGTGTGAACTTTGGCCTGGGCTCTTTCTTCTCCGTGTTCTAACCCTAGACAAGCCCCGCTGTGCGCTGAGGGTTTGCCCTTCTGGAAGGGAGGGGCAGCCTTTCCTGTGGTGTCCCGTCATGAAATGCAAATTTGTAAGTGGTTTCTAAAAATCACTGCATGCTACTCTTGCCACCTGCAGAAGCCCTTGTGCAGCAGACGATGTATTTCCACCTCACACGTGTGTGGAAACAAGTGTGAGACAAAGATAACAGTCAAGCAGCCCCGACAGGCACTGCTGCCTCTCCCGGGGCTCAGAGGACCCCATGGAGCTGAGACACCCACTGTGTAGCATGCCCAGGGCACGCCCCTACGAAGCCCTCCACCTGCATCCTGTCTTGCCTGCCCCCTTCCATCCAGAAGTGAGCACTAAAAACACAAATCAGATCCTGGCAGCCCTTTGCTGAAAACTTTCCAGCAGTGTGAATCACTCACAAAATAAAACCCAACTCCCTCCATGTGTGATCTGCCCCAACTTGTCCCCCAACCTCTCCTCCCTCCACTCACCCCAGCCTCTGCCCCCTCAGCACTCACTGCCGTGGGGCCCTCTCAGGAGCGCTCTTCCAGGCTCTAGGCACTGCTGGTACTGCCAATTTTGAGATGCCAGCCCAGCGTCACCATCCCCAGGAGGCCTCACCAACCCCATCTCTGCCCCACTCAATGATTCCTCAAAGTTCCTGCCAGGCCTCTCTGACCATCACCTTCATCCCATCCCAGAAGGAAGGCCCCAGAACACAGGGCCTCCTGGCCCACACTACACAGTGCCTGACCTACAGAAGGCATCCAATAAATCCCTGTGCAATAAGGAACCAGGAGTTCAGGGGGCAGAGTCTGGGAGCTCGTGGAGACAGGAGAAGAGGAGAAAGGATCAGAGAGTGTACCTGGTGGACACAAACCCTCCTCAGGGCTGTGCCTCCATCGCTGGGGGGCAGCTGTCTGCTGGGGAACCCCATCCTGCTTGGTGGTGGCAGAGTCGGCTAGGACCTGTGGGGTCAAAGCAGGGTCGGACATGAGTGGCTTTCAGACTGTCACCCCTCCCACGATCCATCTCACATTCCCTTTGCCCCAGGCGCGCCAACTAAACAGAACCTCTGTCTTTCTTGAACTCTGAACTCTCCAACATTCTTTTGTATTTTTGTTTGTCCCTCCACACCTCGGCGCTAGCCACGTAAGCTATACTTGCAAAGCTCTTCTTTATCCTTATATCTTATTATAAAAGAAAACATGTTTATTCCAGAAAATGCACAAGTTTTTAGAACAATATAAAAACCACATGTGATATTCTCAACTAGAGATATTAATAGCATCCATCAATATTTTGTCTCACGTAGGTCCACTGTTTGACCATCTATATGAATAGCCTCCCTCTCTCTCTCCAACTTACACACACAGACACACCCATTTTTAAAAGTGAGGGTTCATCACATAAGTGCACATATAAGAATAACATTTAGGCCGGGCGCGGTGGCTCACGCCTGTAATCCTAGCACTCTGGGAGGCTGAGGCGGGCGGATCGTTCTGAGCTCAGGAGTTCATCACCATCAAATTGGTATTAGCTGATCAACATTTA